AAAAAAAAAAAAAGATAATGTGTTATACAATATGATATAGCCCTCCCCTTTTCTTATCCCTTTTTATCTATTTTAAGATTTGACCTCGATATCTCTAATTTAAAATTTTAAATTCTTAATTACTTGAAAGATCTTCTTAGGGGTTTTTAGATATTCTCTTTTCTCACATCCTTGGTTAATTTGAAAATAAAGATTATCTTTCGTAGGAGATGAAAGTTTGACTTATTTGTTGAATCAAACTTCCAAGAGGACACAGACCTTAAATTTGTGTAGGCCATTGATTATAATTCCATGTGAAGAGAATGTAGAAAGAAACAGATGAAGAACGTAACCGGATGCCTCCCTTTCTTTTTTTTTTTTTAAGGATAATATATTAATGAAAATTTTCTTATTACTAACAATGTATTCAAAAATGTCGGCAGAAGTTTTAGAGCACGAGACTTGAACCTACACCACACATAAAACTCAAAAGTCAAACATGCATACTTGTGATAACGTGAAACTCATAATTTGTAGGGCCCGAACCTTATACTTCTTCTCGTTGGACTTAGTTGTTTTATTTAGATTTTTTAATAAAATTTGATTAAATAAATTTATATAGCAAATAGATTAAAATTAAAAAAAATTTTCTTTCTATTTATAATTTTTGTTGAATATTTTCACTTAAATCAATTTTTTTAATTGTTATTCATTTGCTATACATCAAGTTAATTTACAAAAAAATTGAGAGAGTAGGACAATTAAAAATTACTGGAGGGAGTAACTCTTTATAATCTAATTTACCAAACCCAAAATACATCTCTATGGTTGGATATTTTATCATTAAACAAGTGTCGTCTTCAAATCAAATATAAGATTTAAGTTTTGAAACAATCAAATGCAACCAAATTAATTTTTTAAAACACAATAAGTTGACGTGAGATGCACTCTTAATATTACTATAAAGAAATTAGTTTTGAGTGGTGTGCAATATAGATATATACCATGAGAAACAGGACCGTCCAAAACAAAAATAATTAACAAATTACAATATCAAAAACCTGATAACTTTCAATAATCTAAGATGTTGATAAATATTAATTAACTCGTATATTTATTTGGGCATTTCTCTGGGTGCATAGAGGCGACACTTGTGCCTTGCATATATCTGTATGTGCATTTATTTAGTTATACAACAAGATTAAACAACTTCAATGCCCTTATTTTTCCTACTTCCTTAATTAAAGTTGGCTGGATATTTAAGCTGCTTGTTTGGAGAAAACAGCCCCCAGTGTTTTTCATACTCCGGTTCCTTATTATTCTCATCAAACATGGCAAAAAAGTATGTCTCGATGGGCTTTCCAGGCTTCTTCGGAGTCCCTCGCTTCACATGTTGAATCAGATTGTTGTTATAAGTCCTTGAATTATCAACCGTCGTAGCCGTTCCACCGTCAGTAGGCCAGCCACTCTCTGATACAACAATCTCTAAATTGCCTCCGCCGGCCTTCTCAAGCGCAGCGTGGACTGCGTCAAGAATTGCATCGAAAAGATTATAGTACTGTAGAGACCCGTATTGCACCACGGGCGCCAGAGTCGCGAAGAGGGCGTAATCAAGGGAGATGTCCTTAGTGTTGCCAATGTAACTGAAGTAAGGGTACAAGTTGACCAGCAATGGAGCTTGTGTGTTCACCAAGAAACGGATTAGAGGGTTGAGAATCGGCATATATTCGCCCTTGAAAGATCCCTTGGAGGCTTGGACAGTGGGGAAGATTCTGCGAGGGTTCCGGTGTCGATGGCCGTTGAAACTTTGATTCCAAGACCGGCAGCCGCAAGTGCTTTTCGGATGTTCTGCATGGCGGGGACTAGAAACTGTGCAAAAGAATCCGAGGGCTTAACTTTGTTCCCAACAGCTATGTAGCGGAACTTGACGTTGGCGTAGTTCTTGACGTTGTTTTGGACCCAAGCGTTGGCATTGTCCTGGCTGGCGGCAATGCGTTGGAGATCAGTGTTGGGGACGCCGAGCATGACCTCAATGTTGGTGCCTCGGAGGGCTTGGAGCGCAGCTTGATCCGGATCGTAGAGTCTCATCCTTCGGATGTTGTATTGGTTATAGAGAGCTATGACTTCTGGGCGGGGCGGTAAGTTGTTACCAAGCATGCCATAACAAACACCAATTTTGGGCACCTGCATAAGATTGAATTCAACAACAACTTGTATGTTAACCATTATTTTAATTTTTCTTAAATTACCTTTCGGTGGTGGTTATTCTAGTGTTGTTAAATTTGAGAGAATCAAAATTAAAAATAAAAAATAACAATATGCATAGAAATGTTAAATAATAAGGTTTTGTTGAATATGATTTAGCTAATACGAAGTTGAATTACATTAAAATTGAAATTTTTTTTTCAATGATTGTTTCTTTATTTAAGAGAATTAAATTTAAAATCTTAATTAAAGCGAATCGAGATACTTTCACTCAAATCAATAAATTATTAATAAAAATCCTATGGTAAAATGTTGATGAATATTTTACAAAAGTTTTTGATAGAAAATTTTGGCGCTTGAAGTAAGCAATAAAAAAATGTGATTTCCTTCTTTTGCCCCTATCTTCTCAGTTGATTATGTTCTCGAGTTAGAGCCATCATAGTAACTTGCAAATAACCTTCTTTTTTTTTTTCGTCCTCTCTTTCCTCATTCTCGCCCGCATCTAGAACGCCCAACCCTCAAATTCGCTGTAGTACGAGGCAAGGGAAGATTCGCTTTTAGAACTAAAAATGCAAGGGATAAATTATCCAATGATTAATTGATTAAAATAAATAACCTTAAATTTACCTAATGTCATCTTTCTGTCACTTTACCTGCCCTTTTTATGCAGTAATGAAAAGCTGATGTTGCTAGTAGTTAAATTTATTGCAATCTGTTCAACCCTAAGCCATTCCTTTAAGAGGAGTGAAGGTATTTAGAAATCCAAGATTCAAGTTTTAGCAATCCCTATTCTCAATCCCCTAATTGTGTTTGTTAAAAAAATAAATTAATTAGTGAGTTTGTTGTATTTAGTTTGAGGATGGAATTGTGCTTAGACTTGGTATTGGAACCAATTTAAAAATTTGATCTAATTCATTGTTTATTGTGAATAGGATCATAAGTCTAAGATATTAATTTAAAATTTAATATGATTTAGATTGAAATTATATGAATTTGACTAAATTAAATTAGGAATAGGTTGAATCAACTTAAAAGGACTTAATTAAAATTAATTAATTTTTTAATATAAATTTTTTA